CGGCTCCCACACCGCGATGCTGCCGGACGAGAGCACGGCCGCCGCCGCCGCCGCCGCCACCTCGCCCTCCACGTACCTGCCGGGGCACACACGTCACCGCACGCCCCGCACCGCGCTGCGCTAACTAACTGCTGCCCTGGGCAAGGGGCAAACGCGGCAGGCTGCAGAACGCCGGGCACAGCAGCCCTCATCCCCTCGGGGCATCTGAACAAGGAGGGCACCCGCCAACCCTCCCGCGGCCCCAGGACCTGCTTGGCACTTGTTCAGTAAACTCAGCTCTCCATCTACTAATATTTGTGTACACAGGAAACATTCCAGCTGCAGTAAGCACATTGCAAGGCCGTGTCTTAGAGGGCTCTCTTCCACATGTGCGAGGCACAACGAAGACACCAAGAGGCAAAAGGCCACTGAGCGCCAGCCGCTGCCTCGCACGGACCCAGCTGGCGACGCGCTCTCCAGCATCAGAGAGCAGCCCCTGCACACGCTTCCGCAGGACGGGCTGCCAGGGAGCGTGCAGGAAAGGTGGCGGCTGGGGCCCCAGTCATCACGAGCAGTTGGGGGGGAGGACAAACAGCCCCCAGCCCCAAACCCTGCGCGTGCAGGAAAGCGGCGCTGGGCTCTGTTGCGGAGCGGGGCAGCGAGCCCCGGGCCGGGGCTCCGAGGTTATCCCGCAGCTGGTCAGGAAGCGGGCAGGAAACAGCCAACACCCTGGCCACATTCCCACGTAGGGCGCAGGGGGATGTGACGGGCGGCAGCCTCCGGATCACCAGCCAGACGGCAAAGGGACGGGAGCCAGCAGGGGCTCGTTACGGGATCCTGCCGGCAGCCCCCAAGAAAGGCTCCGCGCAGCGGCCGCACTTGCCTGCCGGTGTGTCCGGGCGGCAGCGAGGAGAAAACGACGCCGGTGCTCCTGGCCGTCCGGGGGTTGAAGGCCACGACGCGGAACGCGGGGTTCCCGCACTGCTCGCTCTCCTTGGCGTGCGGGTGACTCAGGACAACAAAGAGGAGGCCCTGGCACACACAGCACAAACACATCACTGGAAACAACAGCGAGGGGGGAGCCAGGGAACATCCCCCCAGGTAACTGCTACATTCTCTCTGCATCACACCTTCACGAACAGCGATGCATGATTTTTACTGAATAAAACAGAAATGGTTTACCTGTCAATTTATAACTAAAAAACAAGAGAGAAGCTGACTAATCACAGTCAGACTAATCAACCCCCCCTGTGGTCAGTCAGTGCAGTGCAGGCATAAAACGTGCGCCACTCATCACATACGTACGGAGTCGGAATACGCCCGGTGGCAGATTGAAGCTGGGTAGGAATAACCAACGTGCATCTTTTTCAAGAGCTGGCCCGTTTTCAAATTCCTGCAGTCGGTGAAAATAAAATTCTGACTGCTTTTCCATCCTCTAGCTGTTATTTTTTAATCACAGCTATACCCTTATGAAAGACAGACGCACACTTCTGGTTCCAGAAAAGAAACAAGCCAGGACAAGAAGCTACAGGAGGAGCTAATGAATGTGATAAAAACACAAGTGAAATTATAGCAGAATATTTCATTTGCTTTATATCAGTCTAAACACACAGAGGTTATGTATCAGACTTGAGGCYGATACATAATGAACTCTGCTGGTTCATTAACAAATAAGCAACCAACCAAAACCACTATATAATATCTATAGGTAACTATAGATATTAGCCAACACACACACCTACAAGACATATAGTTTAATTTCAAAGGAAACACTGACCAGATAACAATGCTGTTCACTGCGGTGGTGCCAACCAAAGCATCTCTCATTCCTTCTACTTCAGCAAAAGCTAGAACAGTTTCTTCAGGAGGCATCAGAGTCTGTCCCTCCTTGCTCCTGCACAGCAGACGCAAGGGAGAAAAGCCGGGCAAAGAGTGCAGGAGCYGTGCGGGCACAGCGGGTGCAGGCCCCCCGCAAGGACAGGAGCCGGGCACATCTGAGCAGCCTCTCCTTCCCGCCGAAACCAGGGACTCACCTYCCTGCCTCCGAGAAGGTCGTTATCTCCACCTGCTGCTCCTGCGCTGCCCTGCTGCTGCTCACCAGCCTCCTGCCCCTTAGCCCAAGGACAGCTTTTATATTTCCAGTTTTCACCAGTGACTGCTTGAATGAGTCACTCTCAGAACAATAATGCAAGAGCCTAAGTTCAGAAAAAAGGTATGCGTGAGGACCAAAGGAAGCAAAACTCAAACATGCTGTAGAGGTGAATAAGTAAACTTTGGTGATTTTTTTTTCTCTATATTTTCCAGAAGTTAAAGCATTTGGGAAAGTGGAAGAATTGCAAAGCACAACTTAAACCACTACAGAAGAGGAGAATAAAGCTGAAGATATTCAGCGTGGAAAGCACTAGGAAGGAATAAACACACCACCTTATTTCTCCAATCTCCAAATCTCCCAGTGCTACACACACGAGATTACAGGTGTCTGGCAGAGGAATAATCTGTATTACAGGAATCTAGGACAGTAGAGCAAGAATTCAGTGTTACCCACAATGTTCCTCATATTTGGACTTAATTCACATTCTCTAGAGTGTTTCAAGCAAAATTATAGAGAACTAGTTTTCAGACTCTTCTGAAGAAGCACAGTTACATCGGGATTGAACTCACTGCTGTTTTGCTAACTAAAGAATTCCCAGCGATATAAGAGACAAGTAATGACTGCAGGGTGTCTAAAGGGCGAGAGCACAACAAGTCAGCGGCTGCTGCACAACACGTACGTGTAGCAGCAGCCTCCATAAGGTAGTATGTGACTAGTCAAGCCACGGATCACACCTATCAACAGCGCAAATCACTCTCTTCTGTTTCCTGATGGAAGGAAAATTAGTATCCCCCAAGGAACTAAWCCCACATCCAAGACTCTCAGATCCTTGTGTTAGATCCTTGGGAAGTAATACAGCGTTCCAAGAAAACTGCTCCAAATTTTGGAAATGAAGACCACGTTCGTACCTCTCCAGGCTGCCAAGCACAGACCTTTCCCCAGTGCCCGGGTGCCAGGAGCTTCCACAGGGACACAGAGGTCTCACAGGCCGTCACAACGCGCAGCTCTCTGCAGCCAGCGGCTTCCCACCACATGGTGCTCACGTCCACCGCGCAAGAGCGCGAGGAATCCTGCCCAAAACGGAACAGCCCCGACACTCTGTTAGTAGTTGCTTCACCTGGAGGCACGGGTTGACAGAACTGCTATGTGAGACCCAGTAAGATGAGAACTTGAGGCTCAAGCTTAATGCTCGAAGTGTTTGCTTTTGAGCGAAGTGTCRGTAAGGCACTAAGGAAAATAGGCGGTGTGGGTGGCTGGGCTCAGCCTTAGGGCAGAGAAGGCACTGGTTTGTGCCCCAGGAGCAGCACAGCCTGCACGCTTTCCCACCCATGTCACCTCCCCGCCTGTCAACTGTCCCTGTCCCCTACGAGGGGCTGCAGACGCAGGAGGACAGTGGAAGGACACGACTGCAGGGGGACCCACGGCTCGGCCGTGCAAACAGTCCTGGGCAAGAGCCGCCGTGCTCGTGGCTCTGCTCCTGACGGCCGTGGACACGGACACGTGCACTAGGCAGTGCCGCAGCCCCGCACAGAGCAAGGGCACCCACGGAGCCCCAGGGCAGGCACAGGGCAGGCACAGGAGCTAAGAACACTTTATCTGGGGCTGAAAAAAGTTGCAGTGGTTCCATTTGTTAATGCACTCACATGTGTTTAGACATTTGACATTCAGAAACAAACACTGAAATCCTTTCCCAGATAAAAGCAGATATGCAGGACCCYAGCCAAAGCCATGCTGGAGTGCTCTGCCACAAGTGAAGAAAGAGCTGATCAGATTACAGAGCAAGAAAGAGCTGATCAAATTAGCGAGCAACATCGTTTTTCCAACCAGCTGTTCTGCAATTTTATCGTAATTTTGTTTAACCTTGTATTAAAGAGCAGCTATTGACTCAGCAACAATTATCTGATATTAGCCCACCTTTAACTTTGATATAAGCTGCAAGGTCTCTTCTCTCAGGCCATCAAGCTGCACCGCAGCCAACTGTTCTGCTGCAGTTTCCTCCTGCACAAACAGAAAGCAAGGACGAGGCTAAATTCAGGTTCAAAACTGTATTCAGTACCCACAAGCGTGAGGCAGAAGTGTGAACTCACTCAGCATGCTATTCCCAAGGAGCTATTACAAGAGCATCTCTTTGCAACTTGCATGTCCTTGAAGGACAGGAGATCCCTGACAGGGAATTTACTGTTTTCACCTCCAAAAAATGTCTCTCAGCATCATTTGCATGCCTCAGCCCCACTCCCGCTCTTCAGAATCTAGTACCATCCCAAAGGTGGGTCATTCTCTTCTCTGTAACTGCCTTTACCAAATCCTAGCTTACAATTTTACGGCAGACCCACACTAGATGGCTGCCAGAGACCTTTGCTCACATCAGTGTTTCAAGCCTGCCTCCCATAATAGGCATCAAAACCTACAGTGGATTCGAGGCTGAGTTTACCCAAACCAGACTACAGAATGCATGTTTGAGCTCGAGGGGCCTTGGGCGGCAGGTGCGAGCCAGGCCTTCCAGGGCCAGAACAGCCGCGGGTCCCGCCGAGGAAGCAGCCGGCGGGGACTCGCACACGGAGCCGCCGGCCGGCGCCCCCAGGCTGCTCCCTACCTGGTCACCCTGCGCTCCGCAGCTCCCCGGCCCTCCGCCCTCCGGCTGCTCCGGCTTCTTGAAGAGCAGCATCCCATCAGACCTTCGCTCAGCACCTCCCGCAGCTTCCAGACGCAACACTGCACATGGTTCCTCCTCCTTCCCAGCAGACTCTTCCCCGCAGCTGCCCGACCCCCGGGCAAGGACAGAGTCTCTACATTCCCCACGATCCACAGCCTGGCCACATGCTGCTTTGGCTGGCAAGGGCCGCGCGGAAGGGGTGTCGGGAAGGACGTCACTGGGCAAGACGGCGGGGGTCGCACCCAACACAGGGAAAAGGGATGCGGAAATCTGGGAGTCTGGCTGAGTGGGAGCACCGGCTAAGAGAGTCTCCGTGGGAGTAAAGAGCAACTCGCTCGTGCAAAGTCCCTTCTTGGAAGCTGGGCTTTCTAAATGGGGTAACCTGCACAACACGTTTTTGAAAGGCGAGATCACGTTGCTTTCAGGACTCTTCTTTTCTGTGTTCATTTGCAGACCTCGTGCTTCCTCTGAAGCCACATGATCTCCGGACACACTAGGAACAAAAACTTCCAAGTCATTCACAGGGGAAGACTTAAATTTCTCAAGTTTTAGCAGCCCAAATTCCTCRTCAGGTAGGTGAAAGTCTTTGATACCCAGCGTGGAGGGCAGCTGCTGGAGGCTGCGGAAGCTGAAGAGAAAGTCTGYAGCATCAGGGTCTGCAGGCAGGAGACCAGGAGCAGCTGGATCCTCTGAGTCCATTCGCTGGTCACATCTTCTGCTCTTGCCTGCACACAGAAAGATAGAACATGGAAGAACATCATACCATAACACAGGCAGCAGCCAGCCCTCCAATCTCCTTTCTAGAGGGTCACAACACTCTAATGTTAATTTTCCAAAAGCAGCCACATCTCTCAACACTTGGAAGTGTCACTTTCTGGGAAGACATTACACTCTGTTGCATTAAGGCAGTGCTCTGCATTAAGGCATCAGCTAAAACATCACTAAAGTGGCCAGAATGGACAGAAGCCCAACCAGATTTGGTTTGTCCTCCTCCCAACACACTTTCTTTTCCCAGCATTCACATACTCTCAGACTGTAATACTCATCTTTGTGTTTCATATTTGTCAGCACTAAAAATTCATTAATGCCCAGACACAATTGGCAAAAGAGATTTTATATCCATTTGCTGAAAAAACAGGTCAAGTTTCCAAAGAGACACCAAAGAGCAAAGCCAGCTTAAGGCCTTCTCAGCCCTGCTCCCCACGCATGCACTGCTGTTCACATTGTGCAAATAAAACGGGAACCAAAAGGATTCCACTCTTTCAGAAAGCTTCAACTCTCAAGAAACAACTCCCCAGTGAGATTTTCCTGCATAAAAACACGTTAGGGTGCACGGATTCACCCGGCGCTTCCCCACCTCGCCCTGGGCTCTCGCTTCAGGGGGTGCCTTTGGTACCTGTGGGTGCCCGGGCGGCTCTGCGCCTCGCGGAGGGGCGCAGGGAGGGCCCCTCGCCCGTCCCCGGGGGCCGCGCCGCCCCGCGGGCGCCCCCCCCTCGCCCGTCCCCGGGGGCCGCGCCGCCCCGCGGGCGCCCCGGCTGCGCCCGCCGCCCGCCGCGTGGTTGGGGTGACTCAGGCGCCGCGGGGCGCCCGGCTCCCCTGCGCGGCCCCCACGGGTGTCTTGCGCTGGATCCAAAGCAGCGCTCTTCCKAAGTGCACTTTGGAGCTGATCTAACGGAGCCTCGCGGCCCTTGCCGAGCACTCGCCCTCCCCGAGGAGGAGCAGCACCCATGGGCTCTGCGGTGCCAGGCGCTCCTGCCTCCACGCAGCCGGCAGCTGCGGCACAGTGCGGGCTCAGCTCACGCAAGGACGATTTTTCAAGATCACCCTCGGAGTTTTCCTTTTCGCTCGGACAGTCGTTTGCTAAGACACTGGTGCCTTCTTTTGGCGCTGCGCGATGCACACCCGCTGCAGGCTCCGGCGACGCTTGGTTCACAGCGGGTTTGCACRTGGACCTTCTCCTTCCCTTTTGCTTCCTCTGCGACTGTCTCTGCTCACACCTTGTGCTGGCCACGCTGCTCTGCGAGAAGGAGCCAAGCGAAGTGCTGCTGCTGTTAGACGGAGTCAGAGACTGTCGAGGGCTGCCCGAATCCACCGGGCTACTGTCGGCACCAAGCGAAGGGAACGGCCTGACTCCTGACTCGTCATCGTTTTCCATCATTTCTTGGGACGGCTGATCCGAATTTGCATCTTTCTGCTTGCACTTATTTCGCAGACCCTTCTTGCTCTTACCCAGCTGGCTGAGAATTACTGCATCTAGGTCCACTTTCCTCTGGCAATTAGACACACGGCGCGTTGTCCGGACGTAGTATTCAACTGGGAAGAGAAGCCCCTCAACCACSGTGTAAGAATTCATTGTGTTTTCAGCTTCAGGAGTCCTCAGCTTCTCTAGGTGAGAAAATCTTGACTCGGTTTCAAGTTCTCGAGCCTCCAACAGCGTTTCACCACGGCCTGTAAGAGGATCTGTAGGAAAGCAATTGAAGTCGTTAGCCTCATTCTGATTTCCTTCAGAGCTTCCGCTCTCGCTAATTAGTGTGTTATTTCTGTCGGGAGGCAACACGTCCTTCTCTGACKTGCAGTCCCTGAGGGACAATTCCCTGGGACCTTCCCCCGTCCTCTCGTTGAGCACTTGCTTTTCCACGCGGGAAGGTTCTTCCCTGGTGCTGTTGCTGGCGGCAGGCGACACGGAGTCGCTGCTCCCTGGCGGCAGCCCCGGTGGCCCGTGGCTGCGGGACACGGACGGGGCACCCGGCGGCTCGGGGCTGCCCGCCGCGGCGCACGAGGAACTGCCCGCGCCCCGAGCAGCGGCTGCTCCGGATGCTCTGCGGGCACCTTCCCCGGTGCTCGAGAAACGGCTTCGTCGGAACACTGGAGACCCCAGCTCCTCTTTCCTGGACRCTTCACTCGTCACATTTTCTTCACTGTTCACCAGCAGCGCATCACACAGAGATCCCCCTTCCTCTGGGACGACAGCCTTCRTTCTCCTCTTCCTCAGCTTCATCCTACCTCCCGTTGCTTGGTCTTCTTTCCCCTCTGCAGCCGGCCTAACCGATTCCCCGGGGGCACTTTCCTGGCTGCCCTTGGTGCTTTCTGCCTGGGAAGTGTCTGACAAGTTAACTTTGTTGGTGAGGAATTCGGGCCTTTCTTGACAAGAGTCGGACGTTCTCCTCTCCGTGCTAGGGACAGCGCAGCTCTCGACCTGCAGCTGACAGGTTTCGTGTCTGCCAGCACTCGGAGATGGGGCATCCCCGGAACCTGCRGAAAAAGAGATCTCACATATGAAACAACTCCCAGAAAAGCCACACGAGATGARAGCGGCTGAGGTTGGAAGGGACCTCTGGAGGTCACCTAGTCCAACGCCCTGCTCCAGCAGGGACACGTATCATCTAGATGGGCTATTTGCAAAGGTGCCTATCAAGCAGTGCTTGGATATCGATATATCGATTTATCTCGCCCGTGACCGACATGAGCGCGGAGCAAAGAGGAGACCCGGGCAGGAGCAAGCGGGGACGCGTCCCGGGGGCGCGGGCTGGCCGTGCAGGGGGCAGCGCGGGCGGCACAGGCCGAGGCCCTCCCGCGCCCTCCTACCTGCGGGGCGCGGCGGCGCCGGTGACCCCGCGCGCGGGCC